AGTCCAGAAATTGAAATCAGAAGAGGAGTTAGGCAGTGATGTATTATGTCCCCATTATTATTTAATGTATATAGTGAAGCCATTTTTGAAGAAGCATTACTATCTCAAAGTTAAGGAATAGTAATTAACGAAAGATCTATTAACAATAGAAGATATGCGGATGGCACCGTGATTATGGTACGCTCTGCTGAACAACTCCAATTACTGCTAAACAAAACAAACAGTTTCTGTGAAAAATATGGACTAAAAATGAATATAAAAAAAGACCGAATACATAATAATAACAAAGGAAACAAATATACCAACAAACATACATTTGGGAAATGAACCAAATACAAATACCTAGGAAACTGGATTTCATAAAATAATGATCAAACAGTGGAAATAAGAGCCAGGATAGAAATAGCAAGAAATGCATTTGTAAAAATGAAAACAATTCTCTGCAACAAAGATCTTAGATTAGAACTGAGAGTAAGAGCACTGAGATGCTGTGTTTTCCAAACTGAAATATGGACTTGAAAGCTGGACATTTAAGCAAGAATACATAAATAAGTTACAGTCCTTTCAAATGTGGTGTTACAGGAGGATGCTTAGAATAGCATGGACAAAGAAGAAAACTAACCCGGAAGTATTGCGAGAAATGGGCAAATAATGCGAAATAATAAACACAATAAAAATATGAAAGTTACGATATCTGGGACACCCGTATGAGGGGACAGCGATATGAACTGCTAAGGCTGATAATACAGGGAAGGATAAGGATAATAAGGAGGAAGGAGTATAGAAAGAAGGAGAGTGTCATGGTTGAAGAATTTAAGGGACTGGTATAAATGCAGTTCTATAGAACTCTTCATAGCAGCAGTAGATAGAGTAAAGACAGTGGTGATGATATTCAACTTCCAATTGGGAGACGGCACTTAAAGAAGAAGAAGAAGGTTATCGTTACGAATATACCAGGGTGCATTAACTACGCCTCGAAGTACTTTCTTTTGGAACCTTTGAATGAGACTTAAATTACTTACACTGGTACATGCCCATCATTAGATACCGTAAGTCACACCGGTTTAAGGACTTGTTGATAGATCAGAAGCTTATTATATACTAATAAGGTCGAACATCGACCCAACTTACGGCAACACTAATCGTACCATGTAAAATACATCTGCGCAAAAATAACAACAAAAACGATAAATAAAAACGAGAAATAATAACTGGAATACGCAGAAATTTTCTAAACTTGGGAATAAAACAAGAATATGCAAAAACAAAGAGAAACAAAGAACACATAATGGCTAAATAAAACTGTAATGAAACAGAAATATTAAAAATTCAACATGATAGCTTCAATACACACAAAAAAAATTATAGAACTTACTAGAAACTAAAAAAAAACTAGTCACAGCGTATTGACTGCTAAAAAAGGAGATATACTTATAGACTCGGAAGACAAGCTGAGTTAGGATAGAGCCAACCCTATCCGATGTCGGAACCAAGAAGGCCGAAGTACCACAGGGAGCAGTGTTGTCGTCATGCTTGTATACAATTCCCACAGCGGACGCTACAACTACACCCACTCCGCTCAATGCTGAGTTTATATGCTGACGACACTGCAATAGAAGGTAGTATGAGCAATCCCGACCCAACAACGAGATACCTAAAAACGGCACTCATCCGTATGCAATCCTGGTATATTAAGTGGAAAATTGCAGCCAAACCGGACAAAACACAGGTCGTCATGTACAAAAAAAGAAAAGGGCAACCTAAAAGAGTACTAACCTTGTTCAATACACCAATTGAATGGGCAAATTAATAATGCTAATCATGAGAATCGGAGACCAGGATCCGGCATGGGAGGTATATCACAAGAAGACCACAGGGCCTCCCAGGTCGTCAACCAGCAAAATCCCTATGAAGTACTAAATACTACTCTTAAAAAAAAATTAGAAACACCCAAGAGAGTATTAAAAATTAGTACATAGAATGTTAGGAGTATGTATGATTCAGGCAAAATGCATAATATGATACAAGAAATGCAAAGATTAAATGTCGACATTCTAGGCATTAGTGAGGCAAGGTGGTCAAATTCTGGCAGTTTTTTGACAACAAATGGCATGGTATATTACTTTGGAAACAGTAGTACTCAACACAGACACGGCGTAGCAGTTTTTGTATCCAAGTCTATGATGCAGTCGGTCAATAATTTTACTCCAGTATCAGATCGGTTCTTATTTCTCCAACTACAAGCAAACACAAGTAAACTAAATATCATACAGATCTATGCACCTACTGCAGATAAATCCGAGGACGAAATTAAACAATTCTACGAAGAAATCAATCAAGTATTAAAATCGACGAAACCACGAGCATCACCGTAATTCTAGGTGATTTTAACTCAAACATTGGAATAGAAAAAACTGGCAAACATGTAGGAGAATACGGACTCGGTAAAAGAAATGAGCGAGGTGACAGACTGCTTCAATTCTGCCAGGAGAATAACATGATTGTATCTAATACATTCTTCAACTTACCAAAGAGAAGAATTTATACGTGGAAATCACCCCAGGACAATGCCAAAAGAATAATTCGAAACCAGATTGATTTTTACTGATAAACGAACGATACAGAAACTCCTTAAAATCCGTTAAAGCTTACCCAGGCGCACATGTCTTTTCAGACCATAACCTTCTAATAACGCAAGTGAGTATTAAACTAAAAAAATTGGAACAGAAAAGAAGAGCAAATCAGATAGACGTCAGTCATTTGTGTAACCTGGAGGTAAAAAGGAGAAACTGCAAAAATGTATTAATAATAATTTGAAAATTCTTCATGAAAAAGAAACATCTCAGCCAACGTACAACATAGATAAAAAATGGCAAAACGTATAAATGGAGATAACAGGTCCTGTGAATAAAATTCTGACTAAAAAAAAACCAAATATAAAGCAAAGGTGGATGACTAATAAGATCCTTTTTCTTATGGACAATCGGAGAATAATGAAGGAATAACGAACAAAGGTATAAACAAATACAGAAAGAAATCAAAATAGAAATCATAATAGCAAAAGAAGATTTTTAATAAAAGAAAATGTAAAGAAATAGAGCAGAGAGACGAAGGTCCAGATATAACGGAAGAGGAAGTAATGTACGCACTAAAAAGAATGAAAAATGGTAAAGCTCCAGGTCCAGATGGTCCAAATACCAACGGAAATCCTTAAACAAATAGACAAAGACTCGATTCACATTTTAGTTGAACTTTTCAATAGCATTTATACATCAGGAAAAATACCACAAGAATGGCTTTTATCCACCTTTGTTATTATACCAAAAAAGATAAATGCCAAACAATGTAGTGATTACCGTACAATCAAGCTGATGAGCCATGTACTGAAAATATTCCTGAAAATTATACACTCTTACACAGAAAACTGGAAATGGACATCAATAATACCCAGTTTGGATTCCGAAATGGACTCGAAACAAGAGAGGCGTTGTTTGCACTGAACGTAAAGTCTCAAAGATGTCTTGACATAAATAAAGATGTATTCTTGTGTTTCATAGATTACAATAAGGCCTTTGATAAAGTGCAGCATGATCACCTAATCAAACTCCTGACAGAAAAGAATTTAGATAAACGAGACATCCGACTAATAGCAAATATGTACTACAATCAGAAAGCAGTAGTGAGAGTAGAGAATAATACCACTGAAGAAATTGAAATAAAGCGAGGTGTGAGACAAGGGTGTATACTGTCACCAACCCTGTTTAATCTCTATTCCGAAGACGTAATGAATAGAACACTCTCTGAGCAATCCGTAGGTATTAAAATAATTGGTATTAGATTAAACAATCTGAGATTTGCCGACGACACCGTTCTGATCGCAGAAACACTTGAAGAGCTACAGACATTGGTGAATAAGATAGCAGACTGCAGCGAAGAATATGGACTATCTTTGAACATAACGAAAACTAAATTTTTGGTAATATCGAAATCAACACAAAATGTCCAAAATTTATATTTACACAATGAAATTATCGATCGAGTTAGCAAATACAAATATTTAGGCACTTTTATAAATGAAGACAACGATAGCTCAGCCAAAATAAGAATAGAAAAAGCCAGATCCATATTCACTAAAATGAAGAGAGTGTTCTGCGGAAGAGATTTGAGCCTTGAAATGAAACTTCGCCTGATGAGATGTTAGGTACTTTCTGTTCCGTTCTACGGAATGAAGTCATGGACGTTGAAAAAGATTGATACCAAAAAATTAAAGGCATTTGAAATGTGGATGTATCGCAGAATCCTGAGAATATCATGGACCGAGAGAGTCACAAATGTCGAGGTCTTAAGAAGAACGAATAAAGAAAAGGAATTCATATTCATATCAAAAAACGAAAACTGCAATACTTGGAACACATTACAAGAGGCGAAAGATATGAACTGCTTCGAATAATTATGCAAGGGAAAATAGCAGGACGAAGACGAAACTCCTGGCTAAAGAATCTACGGGAATGGTATAGCTGTAGCAATAACGAATTGTTTCGGTCAGCAGTTTCAAAAATACGTATAGCCCTGATGATCGCCAACCTCCGGAACGAAGATGCACTTGAAGAAGGAGAAGAACATGTTAACCAACTGGTGCACAAGACCAATCTTCTTAGACGAAAGTTCTGAGAATGATGGATGAACACGCATACGATGTTTTCAATAACCTCAGGAACCATCCGAACTGAACACCATAATTAAGGAACAAAAAAAAAACAAAAAAATAAAAATCACAAAAGAGCTCTGTTCACCACAAAAAAATAACCTTTACCGACTCCTAATTATTTTTTTTTTCTTTATTTAGTTATATTTATTTTCTATTACTAACCATTTGAACGTAAAAAAACACTACTCTTTTCTTTCTAATATTATTTTAACCTTACCTTAACTAACAACCTTCAAGAAGAACAGAACCAAAATTATAGAACGTGTATTCTGTGGGAAGGATCAAATCAAAGGGGAAGGATCAGGAAGAAATCAAATTGATCACATGCTAGTAAATAAGAGGTATAGGAACAGCTGTACATCTAGCAAAACATACCCGGAGGCAGATATAAATTCTGATTATGTACCAGTTGTAGGTAATTTCAAAGTCAGAATGAAGAAGGTTACAAGTCGATGAAGAAGTATGATGTTAGAAAACTGAAAAATCCCAATGTTCGACTGAAGGTAAGTGAAAACCAAAACACAAAGTTGCTAAAATGCAATAAAGCAGAAACTATAGAGAAAAGTCTGAAAGTCAAACAAAAAATAGTGAGAGAAATAAAAGAACAACACCTGAAAAACGATACAGAGAAACGGAAATTGTGAATGACTGATAAAATACTTAAACTTATGGATCAGAGAAAAAAAACAAAGACAATCTTCAAGAATATAAAAGAATACATACCATTGTCAGAAGAAAAATAAGAGAAGCCGAAGAGAAACGAAAAACAGAACAATGTCAAGAAATAGAGGAGTATCAGAGTCGATGTGATAAATTCAATGTTGGTCGAAAGGTGAAGGAAATAGCTGGAAAAATAGAGGAAAATAGAGGAAAAATAACAGATGATAAAAGTAATCTTGCCATCACCAAGAAAAATAAAAAGAAAGTATGGTAAGAATACTTGGAGAAGCATTTCCATGACATTAGAACAATACAAGAGTCCACCTTTGAAGAAAATGCAGGTCCGAAAATCCTACCAGAAGAAATAACAGCAGACGTCAGACAAATGAATGACGGAAAGGTAACCGGACTTAATGAAATTCCGACAGAACTGTTGAAGCTATTAGATGCAGAACAAATAAAAATAATAACTGAAATATTTAATGAAATATAAATGGGCAGGAAAAATACCAGTATAGTAGCTCAAATCGGAGTTCGTACCATTACCCAAAAAACCAGGAGCGAAAGTTTGTAAAGATTATAGGATCATAAGCCTAATGAGCCACCTGCTGAAGTTGTTTTTAAAAGTCATCCACAAAAAAATTTACCGCAAATGCGAGGAACAAATTGCGCCAAATCAGTTTGGATTTGTGAACGCCGTTGGTACGAGGAAAGCTTTATTTAGCGTGCAGGTATTGTTTCAGAAATGTAGAGATGTCAGCTTTAATGTTTTTGCATGCCTGATTGACTACAAGAAGGCTTTCGATCTAGTCAGGCATGAACAAATGATGGAAGTGCTGAAGAGGACAGGGATTGACGGAAAAGACTTAAATATAATAGCTAACCTGTTGGTATTGGAATCAATCAGCGGTACTCCGAATAGATGGAGAATATACAGATCAGGTATGTACCGGGTGGTCCAATAAGCCGATCACTCGGCTATATATCAGAAACTATTCATGTTATAACTTTGGGAGAAAAAAATCCTTAGTAAAAATGGCCAAGAGAAATCGCTGGAATTAACTTTCAAGATTCTGGATTAACCGCTAGGGGGCGTAACCTGCGAAGAAAATTTTGAAAACCAGTTTTTTGGGAAATATGTCCAATTATATAAGTGTTAAATAAGTAAACTAGAAAGAGGCATAAATTCTGCACAAAGTTGTTCAAGTAGTTTTTTTTTTATTTTTTTAAATAAAGGGTGGGGGAGAGTGGGAAAGTATTTGTGGATAAATACCTATAACTTTGGTTTCGATCAACCGATTTTAACAAAATTAGTGTTATTAGAAAGAGTATGGATGAATTAATTTACATCTACTATAAAATAATTGCATTTAGTTTTAATTGTCGTAGGTAGAGGGTACTTTCGAATGAAAAAATTAAAATTTGTTTTTCTTCAAAATTTTTAATGGAAACACCTATTTATTGTAAATTATAATGGAACTGGATTAAATTCATAACAAAATGGCGCAAACCGCATGTTAATAGCTTTTATTGAACTCAAGATATGAATAAAAACGCATAAACATAAGTAAGTATAGTATTGACATACCCTATATTATAAAATAAATTAAAAAATAAGTCAGTAGGTACATTCAAAATTTTTTATAGCAGAAAAATCTTAATGTTGATACCTATTTTGACCATTGTTATTTCATATGATTATAAATTATTTTTTTAAAACTAAGTAGGCTACGACAATGATTTTGACAGGGAGTTCATATTGTTTATTTATTGACAGCAGTCAAAATATTGTTAAGAAGTGTTATATGTATTATAATTCGAATTAAAAATTGCATTTTTTTCAATAGATATTAATATTGGTAATATTAGTAATTAATTTATCAGTACTAATAATTCGTGATGAGTATATCAAATTGTATGATATGATTGGAGTTTGTTTCGAATATCATCAAAATGGCACTATTGCCTCACGTATATATTCTGTAAGATATCCTGGCAGAAGATATTGTGACAAAGAAGTAGAGATTTCGGACTACTTATACGTGGATTCTGTTGAATTAAAGCAAGAAGATTCATTGAATTATCTTCGGTCATAACTCTACTACGTCGTTTAAAACAAGGACGAGAAAAACTACCAGTTTCTCTTAATCTTTTTGCCCTTCTTTCAAATACTTCTTTGCCATAATGTCTCCTGTCACGATATCTTACACAATATATACGTGAGGCAATAGCGGCATTTTAGTGACATTCGAAATAAACTCCAATCATATCATACAATTTGATATACCTACTCATCACGAATTATTTGTACTGATAATTAATTACTAATATTACCAATATTAATATCTATTGAAAAAAGTGCAATCTTTAATTTGAATTATAATATAGCACTTCTTAACAATGTTTTGACTGCTGTCAATAAATAAACAGTATGAACAATCAAATTCATTATCGTAACCTACTTAGTTTCAAAAAAACTATTTTTTACAAAATAGGTATCAATATTAAGATTCTTCTGCTATAAAAAAATTTGAAAATACCTTCTGACTTCTGAATTTTTTAATGTAATTTATCATACAGGGTGTGTCAATACTATACTTACTTATGTTTATGAGTTTTTATTCATATCTCGAGTTCAACAAAAGCTATTAACATGCGGTTTGCTCCATTTTGTTACGAATTTATTCCAGTTCCATTATAATTTATAATAAATAGGTGTTTCCTTTAAAAATTTTGAAGAAAAACAAATTTTAATTTTTTTTTATTTGAAAGTCCCCTCTACCTACGACTATGAAAACTAAATGCAAGTATTTTATAGTAGATGTGAATTAATTCATCCACACTCTTTCTAATGACACTAATTTCATTAAATCGGTTGGACCAAACCAAAGTTATAGGTATTTATCCACAAATACTTTCCCACTCTCCCCCCCTTTATTTGAAAAAATAAAAAAAAAAGTACTTGAACAACTTTGTGCAGAATTTATGCCCCTTTCTAGTTTACTTATTTAACATTTTTTATAATTAAACATATTTCCCAAAAAACTGGTTTTCAAAGTTTTCTTCGCAGGTTACGCCCCCTAGCGTTAATCCAGAATCTTGAAAGTTATTTCCAGCGATTTCTCTTGGCCACTTTTACTAAGGAATTTTTTTCCTAAAGTTATAACATGAATAGTTTCTGATATATAGCCGAGAGATCGGCTTATTGGACCACCCGGTACAAATCTTAAGGGGAGTGAGACAGGGGTACATAATTTCACCACTCTGAACTCGATATTCAATCTGTACTCGAAGCACATTTTTGAAGTTCCTCTTAAAGATATTTATGAAGACATCTTAATAAATGGAGTCAAACTCAATAACCTGCGATATGCAGATGATAAAATAGTGTTTTCCAATACCTTAATAAACAAAATAACGGAAACAAGTAGAAAATATGAACTGGATATAAACACCAGCAAAACCAAGCTAATGATAATTAGCAAGAAAAACATAACTGGAACAGATCTGTTTAGGAACTAAATCAGAATTAAACGTGTCTCACAATACAACTACTTGGGAACTATAATCAATGAGTCGTGGAACAATACCCAAGAGATTAAATGTCGCATCGGAAAGACAAAAGTGCGTTCTTGACTATGAGTTCTATCAAGAGCCATGATCTCATACTTAAAACAAAAATAAGGCTCCTTAAATTTTACGTGTACTTAGTGCTTCTGTACGGAGTAGAAACGTGGACATTGAAGGCGGCAACTCTATCAAAACTTCAGGCTTTTGACTTATGGTTAGACAGAAGGATCCTGAAGTTACCATGGACAGACAAAGTCACCAATGAAGAAGTACTGCGGAGAATGAACACAACCGCGGATTTTGTCAACATCGTGAAGGGCCGTAAGCTGCAGTACTTGGAACATATAATGAGAAATCAAAGCAGATACGAGCTACTTCGCATTTTTGTTCCTATGTACTACGATGCATTTTTTAAGTTAAAATTGAAGGAACAGGGGCCCCAGGACAAAAAAGGATATCCTGGCTTGCTAATCTAAAATCATGGTATAGAAAGACCTCAAACACAGCTATTTCGTATAGCAACCAATAAAGTAGTCATAGTCAGAATAATCACCAACGTTCGAAAAGGACAGGCGCCCTAAGAAGAAAAAAGAACGATCCCCAACCGTCTGAAAATTGCCACGAAACAGAATACCATAATCTCCAAGAGATGGAATACTACAGTGAAACGGATGATACCCAAGAGTTTCCCTAAGAAGAAAATTTTCACAAAATCTCATTTTAAGGACAATTGTATACATCAATTGATTTATAATCAAGATCTATCTAAGACACCCATTTTTAATACTACTAGAAGTAGACTAAAAATATGGTTAAAGGCAAATCTGATACAATCATCTCACCCAAAGCTTCAAATTTATTTAACTCCCAACATATTTACAAAAAATACTTTACGCTCGCAATAATGAAAAATGACCAAATGTTCAGATAACTTCAAAATTTCACTATTAAAATATTTAAATATAGCTGATTTCTCCGATGCACACATCGCTGACTGAAGTAAAGACATTTTATTATACTATATATTATTATGTACTCCTTTAAAACAATATATTATAATCTAGTCAAAAATTCGGGATAAAACTTCCGCATTGTTTTTAGATATACATAGATAATACCGTCACAGCAGATTTTTGTGCCGCAACGGACCTGCTTTCAAATTCTCTTTCATTTTTTTTATAATATATTCGAATAATTGCAATTTACAACGAACGCGTATCTTTCAACGTTTTTTAATGACGATTTTAAAAATATTTACTCCAACTTTGTCAACACGAAGATCATAAGTGGTTTCAACCTTTTCTAATCAAAAGTACACTATCGTCTAAGCATATATTATTTAGGATTTATTTCTATAAGATAATAATTGAAGACACAAAAGTGCATGAAGGTATGTGACATTTTTTTCAAGATATGTTTTTTATGTTAAATTACGTTGTTCAAAGACAACAATTCAAGGGTATAATAATATTATAGAAAAATATACAATAGATATTCTTGCTCTGCAAGAAACGAAACAGCTGGGAAATGAAATAATAAAAATAGGAAAGGCATACTGTTCAAGAGTGGGGGAACCAAGAAATATTTTGGAGTGGGATTCATGGTGCCGGAGAAAGTAAACAAAGCAGTTGTAAATTTTCAACCATTATCAGACAGAATATGTTACTTGAGAGTCAGAGGAAAGTATAGGAAGATAAGTATCATTAATGTACATGCGCCCACTGAAGATAAAGACTTAGAAACCAAAACAGAGTTCTACCAAAGGCTAAGCACTCTAATAGGAAATATACAGAAATACAATGTAATGATAATCATTGGTGACATGAATGCGAATGTCGGGAAAGAGGAAATATATAAAATAATAATAAAATAACAGGGGGATGAAGTTTACATAAGGAATCAAATGAAAATGGGAAAAAGATAATAGAATTTGCTACAGAGAACAAATTAAAGAGTGCCAATTAGAACACTTCACATAAGTGAAGAAGGTTGTAAACAGATTAGAGGAAGAAATAAATAAAAAACTAGATCATTCAGTGAAACATGATATAGATGAAGAATAGTAGACCATAGAGACGGCTATGTCGGAAGCAGTGAAAAAGTGTATAGGAAGAGAGCATATAAAAAGGCAACAATACTGGTTCGATGAAGAATGTATGAATGTTTTGAAAAGAAGAAACAGGTCAAAACTACAAAGAGATAAATAATATACCCAAAATGCGATCGAAAACTATGTGGCAAGAAGAAAGGAAGTAAAAAGAGTTTGCAGAAAAAAAAACAGCTAGAAAAAACATAGAAGAAGCCTACATAAACAAAGAGGTAAAAAGCTTTTAACAAGAAGTTAAGAAATCCAGAGAAACTACAAAGAATAATCCACAGTATTGCAGAAACAAAGAAGGTTTGCTTCTAGATGAAACAACAGAAAAATTAAACAGATTGACGGAATGTTTCGAAGATCTATTAAATACAGACAAACAAAAGGAACTTAAGGAAAATGTTGGCAAGAAGATGAAGAAGGGACGTGCGAGAAACCAACTCTGAATGAAGTTAAAGAAATAATAAGAGACCTAAAAAAAACCAAAAGTGCAGGAGAAAGGGTATCCCAGCTGAGATTTTTAAAGAAGGTGGCGAAAAATTGAAGAAAAGGATATTTCCCTTGCCACTAATAATTTCGCAAAAGGAAGAACTGCCGAAATAATGGAATAGTGCTCTTATTTGTCATCTATAAAAAAGGAGATAAAACGGAGCGCGAAAACTATACAGGTGTAGCGCTATTAGAAGTAGTCTATAAAATACTTGCAAAAGTTATTGGGAAAAGATTAATAAAATCTGATAACAAAGTGATTGGAGAATACCAGGAGGTTTTAGATCAGGAAGAACAACTAATGATCAAATAAGTATGTTAAAATGAGTACAAAATATTAGCAACAAACAAAACATTAGAACAAATCGTAAGAAGGTCAAATATAAGCACAAACAGGACTATTTTCAATAGCCAGGATGCGGATGATGATGATGATTTCATAGCGTACGCGGATAATGTGTTGATACTAGCGAGAACAAAAAAATTTTTTCCAGAAATTTGAAGAAGAAGCGAAAAGATACGGATTAATAATCAACCAAACAAAAACACAAAATATGAAAATGAGAGCAGACATAACAAATAATAACAAATATATCAAAATGAAAGGAGCAGAGACTGTCTATAGTTTTGAAAAAGTGTCAGAATTTGAATACTTAGGAGTAACCATAACGAACACGGGAAAGGAAGAAAAGAGATAGACAAAAGAGTAATAAAGGGAAGCAGAGCGATAGGTAAATACACTAAATACATTACTGAAAGCAAAAAATGTGTCCAGAACAGCTAAACTGCGAATCTACAAGACAGTAATCAAACCCACAGTGATGTATACCAGTGAAACATGGATTATGACCCAGCAGGAAGAAAAGAAAGTAGATATCTGGGAAAGAACAGTGCTTAGAAAAATCTTCGGAGGAATAAAGATAGCCCAAAGAGCTAGATGGCTTGTTCACATTATACGAATGCCAGAGAATCGAAATGTAAAAACATAATACTGAAGGAGGGAGACTTCTCACAAATAGGCGTGAGAAATTGGAAAGAGAAAGCAAGGGACCGAAAAAAATTGAGGGAAATATCCAAGTTGTTAGAAGCCAGGGGCCTACAAGGCCTGTAGATATAATTACATTCCAAGTTCCAGTGAAATACTGGGAACTCGAAAATACAAGATGTGTAAAGGATAAGGACTCTGTTCCAATAAGTTAATTGTACATTTATCATTTATTCATTAAACCAATTCTAGAGTTCTGGAACTATGTATATGAAATTTAAAAAGACTAAAAAAATAAATTACCGATAAATCAATATAGCTATGCCAAACAGAATGTTTAAAAAGGCACATAATATAGTTTCTGCAAAATGTAAACTTATGATAATAGTTTTGTGAAAAATAGTTGTAGAGTTCTTGAGTAAATATACCTAAACATTTTTATGATCTTGTTGGTGAAATTATAATAAACAATTTTAAAGGTTTTTATGATTTTATTTTTCTGACTTTTATCGCATCTTATATTCATTAAACATAAAAACTAAATCCAATAAAATAATTAACAATATTATATTGAGTTGAACTATTTTTATTAAATTATTAGTAATACACAGTTTAGTTTAATTTTAGCAGATAAATTAAACCAGTTATTGAAAATCAGTTTCAATATTAAATATTTAAGTAGTCTTCTTTTAGTAAAAAAGCAACAGGTGGTATGTTACATATTTTAAAAATTTACTAAAAATAACAAAATTCAAACTTTTCAGATGTGTCCAAAAGGAAAAGTGCCAAGAAATATAACGCTAAATCAGAGTGTAATGGGCCCTAAATATATTTCAATAAAGTATCACATTATGGAAAAGTAACAAACAAAAATCATGCTTAGTTCCAATATATTAGGAGCGAGTTACAATTGCAAGATGGAAATATACAAAGAAAACGATACTGATTAAGTGTTATCTCAATAAGATGGCTTTTGGCATATTTCACTGAGACCTTCCCAGTTCTATTAGTCCTTAGTGACAATGTATAATTGCAACATGTAAAAAAAAGAAGAAAAAATTATGCTGAATGGAAGTGTCTTGGATAAAACCCAGTATAGTAGATACATGATTGTATGGATAGTATGGAATATTAGAACAAGATAATGATGCTAGATCACGGTGATATGTTCCAGGATACATGTGGCCTACAATAGCAAGAACTGGATTATATATGCATTAATTTAATTACTGTTCAAAATAAGCTATAGAACATGATTTCACTAACCTTTTATGTACCACAAAAATATTGGAAGAAACTTGGGAAAGCTTCTAATTTCCCATAGCCGATCAACATTTTCATAACAGAACATGGCGGTACCCAGTAGCGTCGTTTTGTTTACTGGTACTGGTACTGGTACGTCGTTGGTCACATGTACGTAATTTTTTTTGATTGGCTCCTGGACATAATGACGTATGAAGAGGTTGCCATTTTAGAATGTGTAATATAATACATAGATTTAAATCACTACACTTTTCTTGTAATAACTCACTTATAGTTGAAAACTTTTAATTTAATTAATCTTAAAATCTTAATTTAATTTTACAATTACCACTATA